TATGTACTATTATTGGGACTGGTAGGTAGTATTAAACACGAGTCAAAGTGGAGATTATTAAGAGTATATGAGTGTACCATACACACTATAACTTAAAATTCACAAAATATAGTTATATTCTAATCTTTTCATGTAGGGCCTGAAGTAGTTTTTAAAGTAGTGGTCAACTGTGAACAGTTTAGAGTTACTTTTCTTGCATAAAGCACGGGCATATTAAACAATTTGATTATACAGCCTCACTAAATTGCTGAGGCTGGCTTTGAACTTACAATCCTCCTGTCTTAGCCTTCTCAACTACTAGGATTACAGGTGTGCACCACCTGTAATCACATTTTTATGGCATTTATCACAACTCAGAAAACATCATTGGTACTTTTTTTTTTTTGGTACCGTGGATTGAACTCAGGGCACTTGACCACTGAGCCACATCCCCAGCCCTATTTTGTATTTTATTTAGAGACAGGGTCTCTCTGAGTTGCTTAACATCTTGTTGCTGAGGCTGGCTTTGAATTTGTAATCTTCCTGCCTCAGCCTCTCCAGCTGCTGGAATTATAGGCATGAGCCACTGTGCCCAGCTCGTCATTGGTAAATTTACCATGATCTTCTGTTTCAGGATCCTATCTAGGTTACCACATTGCAATCTTCATCATGTCTCACTTCCATCCTGTTTTGTGATAGTTTCTCAAACCTTCCTGTTTGTCATGATCTTGACAATTTTGAGGAGTATTCTGTAGAATCTCTCCCAATGTAGGTTTATGTGGTGATTTATTCATGGTTAGACTTGGGTTATGGGCATGGGGAAAAGACTATCACAGAGGCGGAGTGGTCTTCTCATCACATCAGATCAGGGGTTCATACTATCAACACGATTTACTGATAATGATGTTAACAATTACATGTCAATGTAGTACTTGACAGGGTTCTTCACTTATTTTTTTCCCCTTCCCATACTCTACTCTTCAGAAACAAGTTATTATGTATATCCACATTGAAGGAGGAAGGTGTGGAGGACATATCTATGTGAATTATTTGGAATTCTTTCAAGAAGTGTTGTCTTTTCTCTCCATTTATTCAATTATTTATATCACTGTGAACTCATGGATATCTATATTATAGAGTTTTCCAACACTAGTTTGCTGCTCAAGTTTTCCCAGTTTGGGCCTTTGGGAGCTCTTTCAGGTTGGCTCCAATATCCCCTTGACATATGCCTCTTATTCGTTTGTTAATTGATCATTTCCTTACTTTCTGGCACTACAAGAAACTCTAGACTCATCTTGTATTTTCCCTGTCCAACTTTAGGATCAGCAGTTTCTCCAAGGAGCCCTGGTTCCTTTTTTGGAGAATAGCATGAGTGCTTGATATGTTCACTGCTATTGTGGTTACTGCTTCTAGGCTCTATAAGGCAGGCAGAGCGAGAAAATGTTATGTCTCCCAATCCTTGTATGTATACATACTTAAAATTATTTCTATACTATCCTTCTGAATCTGTATTTAGGTATCTATGAGTTCTTACGGATGTCTCCAACAAATTTAGTACCATATGGCTCATTTTAACCTTTTATACTTAATTATCTGAAACTTCCGTCTTCAAGAATGAGAAACGTGACTCTCCCATCTACAGGTCTAATTTTAAGGACTTTCTACCCTTTTCCCTATTCCATTCTGTGTTATAAATTTATTATCTGTAAATTGTACCTCTCATCAAAAGGACTATATGATCAGGAGAAATGACAAAATAATAAAACCCCCTCAAGTCTTTCAAGTTCTTATCAAGCACTGAAGAAGTGACCATTGAAATGTTACCATTGAAACTAGCAGAATTTTTGTGATTATAGACTCTGAAGAAATTGTCATTGAATGAGAATATGTTTCTGCCTACAATATCCAGGTGCAGAAGTTACTTGGAATAACTATACAATGTCACCTTTCCCAAGAAGTTTGTACTTCTCAAAAGATTGGATATTTTTTATATGTGAAATTAGGCCACTTATTGAGATCTTTAGTTTTACTATATATCTCTTCACTTGAATTAGAGTTAAAATTTTCAATGGCTTTATTACTAAATGTACACAATTTAATTAAATGTTACATAATAGTGATAAATGGGGGATTAGTAGGTATTTCCAATTATTCCTCTTTTCAATGCTGTACGTTTATGAAATGTTTTTCAGTGTTCTTTGGTAAATAAAAGCAAACAGAAAATAGATGAAATCAGATTATCTATTATTCCACTTATATTTTATAATTTTTACCTATGGACACATACTCATTCGTTTATTTCAAAGGAATTTCTTGAATAGTAGGCATTAGGTAGGAGATTAAATTCCAGGGTCAAAGCTACATTAACAGCCCAGCCATTATGAAATGAAAATATTGTTTTTCTATCAATTATAATAATAATTTTCTTGACATTTCTTCTGCTTTAATCTTAGTAACAATTACCAAAGATGATCAATTCTCTAAGTTGTATAGGAATGATAAGAATGAGGGCTCTAGAGTCAAACAGCCTGAGCACAAATTACAGCTCCATCCCTTAGTAATTTATCAACAAGACTTTAGACAAGTTTATTGAACCTCTTAAAACCTTTCCAATGTTTCCTCCACCCTGTGGAATAGACAAGTATTCAGTGATAAAAGGAAAAAAGATGCAACAAGTACAAAATTCCCTTTCCCTGAAAAATTGACACATATAAAAGGAATTTTAAAATAATTATCAGATTTAATGCACTCTAAACATAATCTTATTTTTTTAAAAAAGGATATGGAGGTACTTTCATGATAAATAATATCCCATTATATGCATTAATTGCATGATACATGTTTAGAACTCTTTAGGATTTCTCTTATGATAGCTTTCTAAACATGCACATATTTGCAAACCTGAAGCTTAATTACATGTTCTTTTAGAAATGGAGCTTATCTAATTGACCAACAGAATATAAAGGAAATTGGCAATATGGTTATCTGTTTGCCTTATCTCTGACAATATCACTGCAGTGCTACTTAAAAGGTACTGTGAATAATTAAGTATCAAAAATATATTTAGTACCATTCTAAGTATGTGTTTGAAAATCAATATACCAATTTATGTTCAAAGATCCATATGAATTAAAATTTTGTTTAAAACTACTCTGTGGGTTATTGCACAAATTTAATAACAAATTTATTCCAAATTATTTTATGGCTCTCATTACAAAAATATTTTAATGAAAATTAGAACTAAAAAACTACTCATCTTTACAAGACAGTGAGCTTATCCTCTAAAAGCCTAATAAACACACCTATTTTTCAGTCTTCCTACAGAGAAGTGAATCACTTAAGATTTTAGAGGGAGGAAATATATGGCTGATGGGGGTAGACAGATGCAAATGGCAGGAACATGAAGTTAGGGAATATTTCTATAAAATGGGCCACTGTGCTAATCCCCCATATGCTTTATTTTCCAAGAAGCAATTTTCCTTCAGCCCTGCCTGGATTAAGTGGAAAAGGTATATCACATTTCTTGGCAAACTACCTGCTACCTGCAAGAGAAATGCAGGCTCCAAATAATGGTAAGAGAATCCCAGTTTGTGAATGGGGAGACTTTTGTGATCCCTTTTCACAGACCCTTGTCTGGTCCCCTTTCACAGACTAGATCCTGAAACTCAGAGAGATAAAGATAATTCCTCCTAACTGTAAAACCTGTCAGTATTATAGTCAATTAGAACTGTTCAGCATGTGCTAAAGTAACCTAGTCAGCAGGGCACTGAAGACTTAAAAGGCTGATTTCATCTGGCTGTCAGTCAAAAGTCAATAGATGGACCTGGGTGGGACTCTGAAAACTCCTCTGGGTTCCCCCATAAACTGGAGTACAGGAGAAGAACATTGTCCCTCTCTTCTCTGAGAGGACCCACTCTCTTTACAGTGTTCTTTTTCCTATCCCTTCAATAAATTTAAACCCGTTACCCTGAGCCACATGTCTGAAATCTTTCTGACTTAATGGCAAGAGAGTCAAGAGAGAGACACGGATGTCAGTGGCTACAATTTGAAGTCCCTCCGTTTCTGAAGTTTTACAAAGAGGAATGACTCCAGCTAAATAGTATAAAGTGGTGCTCCAAGGCAGCCATTTCAACCCCCAGGTTTACAGGTTTAGCCTTGCCCACCAAGAAGAGACCCTCTATGTCATGGCCGTCCAATGGCCCAGGTCCCCTTAGACCTGTCCAGATCATCAGGGTGAGGACCATCAGGTTTCCTCCTCTGTGCTACCCTGTCTCAGGAAACTCCTTATATTTATTGGCTTGGTCGCTGGTTTTAACAGGCAAGCAGTTGGTAGCGGTTTCAGCTGTCCACCAGGGGACATGTTACAACGGGTGGCGGGTGGCTTGCTTCACAGGAAGTCCCACTGTGGGCATGTTCTCATTTTAAGCCCAACGGGCCTCGCCTGATAATTCATTTAATTTTGGAAAGGGGCAGTTCCTGCGGTAAAAGCTATCCCTCGGGTTCCTTTTAGGCTGCCCTCCAACGGCCCTACTCTGGCTTTCCTTCCTGAATGTCCCGGGAGTGCCAGGACGACGCTGAGCCAACCCGGGGCAGAAGGAACTCTTTCCTGCGGAGCTGGGGCGGGGGTGGGCGCGGCGCCAGCACCGCACAGAACGGCTTCCAGAGGCGGTGTAGGCGGATGCTACTTATAGTTCCCTCTTTCCTGGTTACGTGCGTGCACGCAGCCACCAAAACCTTCACTCACTGCCGCTTTTCCAGAGGGATTAGAGTTTGGCACGGTGGCGGTCTACGTGTCAGCCCGTGTGAAGCTCATGGCGGCCGCTGAACCCCAACCCCAGTTGATATCTTTCCCACCCACTTCCTTCACGGCGCATGCGTATTGGGACTCTTTTGGGAGGACAAAGGCTCCGCCCCTAAGTGGGCGGTCCCAGAATGGTCTGGACCGGCCAATCGGAAAATAGACTCGCATTTCCTGCCCCCTCTCCCCCTTCAGCTTGTTTTGTAGGGTTCCGGGTCGCACGTGTTAATGTTTGTGTACGTGCAGCGGCAGCAGCAGGCCTGGTAAAGTTCCGGCAGCTGAGGGTTAGGCTGCTGGGGCACAGTAGCAAAGGACCCGCCCGCTACCCCGGCAGTCTTTAAATTCTCGCGCACTTGGGCTGCCCTGTGCACTCACCTGCTAGTCTGCAGCGAGTGGCCCATCTCTCTACGCTCCGAGACTCTTGTCCACTGCTTTAGACGGGAGATGTTGTTGCTTGATTGCGATCCGGAGGTGAGACATGGACCCTTTTGTAGACTAAAGTTACTTGACGCCCCTCTTCTCTGGAGCGCTAGCGAGTTTGACAGGAGCGGACTGCTGAGCGCTGCCAAATCAAGCCTTGCCAGAGTTGGAAGGGTTTTTGTAGTGGGAAAGATTTCCAACCCCTGAGAGGTCTCAGGACTGAACAAGGAGAGAGACGGGTATTGAATCTGTTCTCTTCCCACAGGTGGATAGCCTGAAGTATTTGCTGGAGGCGGGGGCTTCTGTCAATGCACCCCCGGATCCTTGGGAGCAGTCGCCTGTCCACTTGGCTGCAGGTGGCGGCCTTGCTTACTTTCTTCTCTGGCAGCTGCAAACAGGTGCTGATCTCAACCAACAGGTAACTAGGTAACTGTTGCTGTATACAGCCCTCCCCTCCACCGCAAATCCACAAACATTTCCTAGCTGCCAGAACATTCAGTTGTTTCAGTTGTTACAGACAGATCTGTAGCCTGACTATAGCAGAAATATCATGCGAGATATATATATATAAAACTTTCTAGTATCTGTGTTAAAGTAGAATGAAACGAGGTTAATTTTAGTCATTTAACATGATTTATCTGAAGTATAATTTCACTGTGTAATTAATATGAAACAATTATTAACTTTTACATTTTCTTTTTCATATATTTCACTATCTGGTATGTATTTTACTCTTACAGCCAATCTCAATTCAATATAGCTACATTTCATAGCCATCAGTATCTGTTAGCTATAACATTGGACAACATACGTTTGTGGTTTATTTCAACAGAATTGCTACAATTCAAAAGCCTCAATATAGCAACTGAAATAATACTCAGGAGGCAAGCTCACAACCTTTACAGTTTTCTACAGACCTTAAATTTTTGACTTCTGTAGAACTTATTTTGTTTGTATTCACTTAAATTTTAGTGGATGTGATTATATATATTTTTGATTAATGAAAACTTTGTATTAAATAGCATGCTAAGGGAAAAGTTTTTAAATTTAAAAATTTAGTCCAGGTAATGAAGTTCTAACTGGCTTCTTCAAATAGCTAATATTAGACTTCACTTACCAGCTTTTATAGTAAGTGTTTTGGGGACTAAAATGTGCCCTCTTATCCTAAAGGATGTTTTGGGAGAAGCTCCACTCCACAAGGCAGCAAAAGTTGGAAGCCTGGAATGCCTTAGCCTGCTTGTAGCCAGTGATGCCCAAATTGAGTAAGTATAAAATCAGTGGCTTCAAATTTTGTTTTCTTCGATTAAAATATCAGACTCCTCAAGCTTAAGAACATGATTTTGAAAATAATGCTTGCCTAATTGCTAATTTAGTGTTATTTATCTAAATGTTTATCTAAGCTATTAGTGATATCTAATACTATCAATTGGAGTAAGTGAAAAAAAAAAAAATAGAACCTAAGCAATGACGGGTGCAATTCTGTTCTTTATAGCAGTATTCTACTTTTTCTTATTGACTACATTTGGATACTCATACACTGTATTAAACACCAAATACTCTTGCGTTCATTCAACAATGAAATATAAATACAATGGAGTGCCCACTCTGGGCTGAATTTGCGAGCCACTAAGGATACAACAGTGAGCAAAAGCAAAATTTCCCTCAGCGTCCTTTACAAGTGCATGCGTGTGTGGGTGCCTGCTAGGGATTGAACACAGGACCTCCACTGAGCTACACACCCCCCAGTTTAATACTGCTTTGATTTTTGCCACTGACATTGGTATAAGTCCCAAATTCCTTTATTAAAGAGATATAAATAAAAAGACCAAACAATTATCAATTTTTATTTAATTCAATTTTTGTTTAATTTCAGTTTATGTAATAAGAATGGGCAAACAGCTGAAGATCTTGCTTGGTCATGTGGATTTCCGGAATGTGCTAAGTTTCTTACAACAATTAAATGTATGCAGACAATAAAATCAAGTGAACAATCTGACGGGGATCACTGTGTTCCAGTGTTCAGACAGAAACGAAGTTTTGGAAGTACAGAAAATACAAATGGGAAAAGGAGGTGCTGGTAAGTCACTTATATCTGATTCTTCCTTTCTCACTCAAGATTCTCTTTTCTAGCATAGAATTTATTGTTTCACTTAAAATTGATATTCTTATTTCTAGGATTATCTCTTCATTAATATTTTAATACTGATTATAGTTTACTACTACTACTAGATTCTAGAGACTAACATTTACTCTGCATAGTGGAAATTTGGGGAGAAAACATTTTTTAAAAAATGTTTTTAATGTTAACATTTTTTGAAAACAGATGTCATGTTGGTTATGAAGCTGCATGAAGAAGGGATTCATCCATGCAGATGTACAAGTGATGGCTTTTGGCATACTGTATGTGTCTAAACTCCTGAGAAGGAGGAAAACTTTCTTCCAAGTGAAGAGAATATTTAAGAATACATGTATTTACATGCCTGTAATATTTTGGTTGTGCATGTTGTCTTTTTCTGTTATTAAAGGAATGTCTAAAGGATAAACTGTGCAATAGTTATTATGTTTGCAAAAAGTTATAGTTCAATATCAAACTACACTCAGGATTTACTTTGAAATTAAAATTTTTTATTAACAAGTTTATAATACCATTTTACTATAGTCTTTGAGTCCAAGATAATTTAAATAGTATTTGGCCGCTGAGGAAGACATAAGTTATAGTAAGCTTCCTTGTTCCAAAAGTCTGGGCCCTTCCATCCACACCAGCCCTGGATTTGGAAGAAGGGAAAGGAAAACATTTTACTAAGTTTTAAGACCACTCACTAGAAATTGCAGCACAAAGCTCTGGAATAGGACTCCAATACCTATATAATTCAAGGGTTTTCTAACTGTAGAAAAGTAACTTATTTGGGTCTTTTCAACACAGATTTTAAACTTTTTTTTAATATTTATTTTTTGGTTAGAGATAATACCTTTGTTTATTTATTTTTATGTGGTGTTGAGGATGGAACCCAGGGCCTCGCACATGCTAGGCGAGCGCTCTACTGCTGAGCCACAACCCCAACCCAGATTTTAAACTTTTAATTCTAGATTATTTAGTCACAGAAATTATCAAAAAAGAAAAACTCCCTAATAGTAATTGTTAGTCCAGATACCACATACTTCATGGGTCCTAAGATGCATAGTTTTATATCTCTGGCAGTCAATAACAAGTATAGCTTATTTGGTTGTATCCTAGATAGGATGAAATATGGTAGTGAGAAACTGATCTTGCCCCATGAGCTGCACTCTGTGTTCTTTCATTTTCCTCAGGCTATAATCATTTCTACTTGTCATTCTTCATGTCAGTATTAATCCTTTTCTCATGCAGACAAAATTACTTTCAAACAAAATCATATGATTATATGAAAGTTTATCAAATTTCTTCTAGGACCACTGATTTACTAAAGAAGAAAAAGTTGATGACTGGTTTATGTTGTTTCAGAATGAAATGCTTTGAGAAACAATTGGGAAGAGGCTAGCTGAGAACTCTTCAGATACCATGGAAAGAAAAATAGTCGTCTTATTCTTTTAACTAAGTCAGGATATTCTGGCTAAAATTTAGAGTAGCTATAAAAGATAGTGTCTTAGCTCCATTTTTTTTTTTTTTTTTTTTTTTTTGTGTGTGTGTGTGTGTGGTTGTGTGTGTTTTTGTGTTGAGGGGGGGGGGGAGTTCTTACTGAAAAAGTTTTTTTTAATTTTTTTTTTTTTTTTAGGAAGGGGGTCAGGGATTGAACCACGGGCACATAACCACTGAGCATATCCCCAGCCCTTTTTTATATTTTATTTAGAGACAGGGTCTTGCTGAGGTTCTTAGGCCTTGCTAAGTTGCTGAGGTTGGCTCTGAACTCATGATCCTCCTGCCTCAGCCTCCTGAGCCGCTGGGATTACAGGTGTGCACCACCATGCTAGGCTGTGTTTTTTGTTTTGATTACAAAAACATATACTGTAAAAATTCAAACATGATCAAAGTGAAAAAAAATCCTCTCCCTAGGCAACCACCATTAAGTTTGGATTACCATGTATTAGACGTTTCTAAACATTAATAATCTATTTTATTGGCGTGTGTTTTTCACCAAACTTTAATTCAATGCCCTAAAATCTGTTTTCTTAACAGACATATATAAAAAGGCTTATACCATTTTTGTTTTAACCTCTTCTGATACTTTCAGACATGTAGGTTTTCTCCTGGCAACCAGATCTAATTTTTTTTTTTTTTTTAAATGAGAAATGGGTGGAGAATGTGCCAAAAGGCAAGTATATGGAGGACGATGCTTCTTGGAGATGACTGGCCTGGGAATGTAAACAGGAAAGCTCCACAAGAGGGTAAAGAGGAACAGAAGAGGCAGAATTGCCTCTTAGACTGATGGCTGCATTGGCTTTGGCTTCATAGTTTCTTGTAAGCACTGTGTGTCAAGGGGGTTCCTGCTATTGCAGAAGTTCTACAGAAATATAACTCCTAAAATAATGTTAACATATTTTTTAAAAACATATTTTAAAATGTCTTATTTTATGCAACATTTAAATATTACTAATTCATTTCACACATTTTCCATTCTATCAAAATAGCCCAAAAGGAGGAGACTGCAATTTATAGAAAAAACAATTGGGGACAACCTGACTTCCTCTAATTACTTCAGAAAATCTTGCATAGATAATTCCATCTGGTGCAAAGCACCTCAAGCCTGTGGTAAAGAAGTAATATCTATGTCACTCCCCTGATGAAAATAAGGCTTTTCCTGGGGTTCTTGCCTGGCTTTAGCTCCTGCCTGTCTCTCCAGCCACACTTCTGCAGCTTGCTCTGAGTACATCCAACTCCTGTAAGTTCTTGCAGCAGCCTGTGCCTTTCTTTCAGGATTGCTGACTTTTTATCCTTAGGGCTTTAGAAAGGTGTAATTACATTTTTTTTTTTAATTTCTGAAAATACCTCACCAATGAATTTCAATGTTAAAACCATCCCATTCTTTGCAAAAAGTGACCTAATTAAACTCAACTACAAAGTTCAGAGAAACCTTTCTTTGATACTAATGATACTGACCTAAGGAAAACATGACAAAAATGAAGAGTAATAAATGAGTAATAAAATAGTAGGATACATTCATTAGTTGATGATTTAAAAGGTTGTATGCGTTCTTTGTAATTTTAACATATTTGGTATAGAACATAATTGTTATTTAAAATTTGGGTTAATTATGGCTTAAAATACTTGTCTCCTGAAGATTTAGTACTCAATTTTCATATGTGAGAATTAGTTCCCTATAAATCAATTTAAATTAATTCTTCTTTTAACTGATATTGTAAAACATCAACAAATATTCTTGAGTTGGTCTCAACTTCAAAATCTCTATAGAATAAGATCAGGTTATATGTAAATAAATCAAAAGCAGTCAATCCTCCATAATCTCCAGCATTTTTCTTGGCTATTTCTAGTTAATTTTAAAATTATAAAAGTTTATATGTTCTACCCTTATATTTTAAGTCATCAGTAAACCTTGATGTATTTATTTATATAAAGCTATAAAATCTCTAAAGTAATATATTTATGCACTTTGTGTTCCATTATTAAATATAAAAACTGAGAAAGGTTTTACAAGTTTAACCTAAATTTTGTCTTTTCCAACTGACTTTGTCCTTCTAGTCTCCCTGTATAGAGAGACAGTTACTAATGATAGCCTTAGAATGCCTCCTCACTGCCCTCAGCTTGTCATCTTTCTGTTGATATCTAGTTTGCTATCCTTCATTTCTGAGTTCTTGGCTTTGTTGCTAAATTTGTGTTAAATGGATACTTACCTTTTCCAGAATAACTTGCAGATCTTCAGCGCCTGTATAATGTGGATCTAGAATCAGAAATTTTATCTGCCCTGTCGTCTCATTCCATGCAACTCCTAGTATTGTGTGGGCTAAGACTCCTCCTCCTAGAGAAGACATGACATATCAGAGGCATAAACCAATCTCAAACTGCCATTATATTTTAAAATAGAGAGAGAGATTATTTTGCCTACTTATTGACCTAAATAGCATTAAAATTCATTACCCTAATTGTAAAAGACCATGATGTCAAATATACTCTGAAAAGGTAAAATTTTATCCTTGACACATGAAAGATGCAACCTGTATTCATAATCACATAAAGCTTGTATTCTGCTGCCATATCCTTTAAATTATCTAAATTGGATAAGAGCCAGAGGCTCCAAACTCCTCCCAACAGAATAATCACTGCTGTGGAGCCTCTGCTGTATTTGCTCTGATATCTCCAATGATATTGCCCACCTACTCTTTCTGCCTCTTCAGAGACTCATGAATCTTTTGATCAACCAACCCAATATTCTTATTCTACAAATAAAGCCCAGAGAGGTTAAATCATTTGCACAGTGTCACACAGATAGCCAAGTGACTGAGACATGACTTTTGATGTCTAGTCAAGTGACCATCTCCTCTTTTTTTTTTTGCTATTGGGGCTTGAATGCAGGGGTACTTTACCACTAAGCTACATTCCCAGTCCTTTTTGTTTATTTATTTAGAGACAGGATCTTGCTAAGTTGCTCAAGGCCTCACTGAGTTGCTAAGGCTGGCCTTGAACTTTTGATCCTCCTGCCTCAGTCTCCCAAGCTGCTTGGATTATAGGTGTGTGCCACTGCAGCTTTATCCTTTTTAATACTTCTCTTAGTTTTCCAAATGTTTAAATATAGTTATTGGTTTCTTTTCTTAGCTTTTCTTTTTGTTATTATAATCTTTTTTACAACCTGTCAAGAACCTTGTAAATTTTTAAAATATCCAGAGAGCCAATATTTTGGTATAGAATTTAATTTTAAAATGACTTATTTTATGCAACATTTAAGTATTACTAAGTCATTTCACACATTTTCCACTCTATCAAATTAGCCTAAGATGTTCAAGATACCTTACCAATCATTACTGGAGTGCCTTCACTCTGGAAATGATTAGCCAGTTCCCGTCCTCGTGAAGCCATTTCTGAGCCTTGGCTAGAAAGAAACCATTTTCCATTAGATGAACTACTTTGAACACTGAGGTCAAATAATGAGTTTGGTGAGCCAATGTTTTCTACCTTTTGTTTTCCTTTTTGTTTTTTACTTAAACAAAAAAGTAAAAATCAAGTGGTAGAGAACAGACTTAGAAAGCATCCCTCCCCACCCACCGCCAAAGGTGACTAGAAAGCAATTTAAAGCAACAGAAACTCTAAATATTTAAGGCTACTAACTATGCTACTAACTATGCTAGGAAAGGCCTGATTTTCTGCTTCTGGAACTGCATAAAGAAGGT